GGTTGTATCATTTTATAGAAGCCTATAAGTGATATACATAATTTATATATTATTGTTTCATTTTAATTGTACTTTGAAAGGATCTTTCTAATTCTTCATATATCATGATTGGTGAAATTTTCGTAGGAACTTTAATTTTCATTTGAACTTAACACTAAATGCACATACCCAATTCATCATGTCAAAATACAATTGAATTTTAAAAATCAACTGATGATAATTTACAGATAGCTTCATGTTTCATAAAAATGATTTAGTTTCTCATTTTATTTCCGAGTCAGAATTATTACGTTTTCTTCTCAATCTTTAAATGGATCTCTCTCACATCACATGGGTAATTCTCCACTATCAAGACCATATCGCTTCATCTGCAATTCTTTCTTCTTTGGGCGAAACAAACGATCAGATTTATCTTAGGGTTTGATGAAATTTCTCCCAATTTGCTAATCATCTTGAAAATTGCTCAAATTAAGTCTTCTATTTGTCCTAAAAAACTTGAAATCACGTGCTTATCCAAATGGAAATAGATAATAATTAAAGTTTGGGAGCTACATTGACCTAATTTATAATTTATAAAGTTGAGGTATGAGTGTGTGAACATAAAAGGGGTCCATTTTATTTGTTGGTCAACATTTTTTAGCTTTCACGTGATCTTAAAAAAAAAAAAAGATAGAAGAAAACAAGCTTTTATATCAAGAGCTAAAAACCCAAACACTTAAAAAGACATTGACAGGTGATATGTTTTGTGTAGTGATGAGTTTCAATGTATCATCACTTTTTCAATTAGACCATCCCACATACTTCCTACACACTATACTCACAATGACCTTTTTTTTGTTTTTTGTTTATACTCACAATCACCAAAACTGTTAATGTATTTATTATTTAACCAATACATATTTCGACCAAAAAAAAAAAAATTTAACCAATTCATACATAAATACGTGTATGCATGTGCATTTTTCAAAACCAACACCGGTTTGATCGGATTGGACCGACCGTGACAAAAAAAAAAATCGGTTTCAGCTAGCTTTTGTCCCTGAGTTTATATATATTTTACTCGAAGTTTATCTTCATATTTAAAATAAACTTGATCACTTCCCGTATTATACGCGGTTAAATCAAATAAATTTGGATTATCTTTCACAGAGGGAAGATCTGACTGAGGTCATACAAGTTTTTCCATAAATTATTTGGTACATTTGGAAAGTAAAAAATAATAAAATTTTCAACACACATGGACCGATCACCTGCAAATATCCTTGCTATGGCTAAGAAAAAAATCTGGTGAATGGTTTCTGGCGCATGCCACAGAACCTCGACCACTAGCTGAGGTTTTGGGGGGGAGACAGAAGCACCACGATGTACATCTACATTTTCCTGTTTTGTGGATGAATCCTAGAAGACGGAGGATTATACTAGTGGAGTTGGGTGGGTTTTGCAGCTACAAAATGGAACCACTGACCTGATGGATCTCCAAGGATATCAGAAGCGTCTCTCACCACTACATACAGAACTACACAGACTAATTTAGATTATCCAGAGTTTGCTTCGGAAACAACATTTTTGCCCCATTTTTATAACGGACTCCAAGGAGCTAATAAGTATGGTGTCATCACCAAACAATTGGCCCGAATTTCAACTGGAATTACGTGAATTAACAGTACTTAGAGAATTTTTCTCTGAATTCGACCTTATCTATCGACAACGGGAAACTAATAAGAGGGCGGATTTGCTTACAGGTCTGCGAGTACCCGGGATACTATCTTTTCGTTTATCGGCAGTTATGTTCTTTATTGGTTTTATGATACAGATATTGTATTTATTTAATCAGTAATGAAGTGCGTTTGTGAAAAAAAAAATCAAATAAATTAAAAAAATATTAGATCTATTGGTTCTAGTCGATCCAAGAAAATTGTTATAATGCGGATAATATAAATTTGAGAAATTAATGATCTATTGATTCGAGTCGATCCAAAAAAATTGTTATAATGTTGATATATTAACTCGTAATGGGTCTTGGGCTTAACAACTTTGATGATATATTTTATAGATGGTCTCAACTCGTAAAATACCTCTTCATAAACACAACAACGTTATGCTTGAACATATATTTCAATTAGTTAGTGCGCTAAAGCCTTGTTCAATCCTCTTCTTGATATTGAGATATTCACATGGCCATATCAATATTTAGGAATGAAAGTAGTCCTACAAGGATATCTTTAGACACATAAAGGAACTTTTTTTTTATATAAAAAGTGAAGTGAAACAAAAACTAAGAAAGAATGAGCACATGGGAGGAATGGAGAATCTTTGGGTAGGATTCAAGTCATGTTCCCATAATGGGATTTTATGGTATGGGTATCATATTTGTGGGTCACTTCTCTGTTTTCAATTTGAGTCTCTCTTCTTCTTTTTTAATCCTTAAAGGTTTTTTTTGTTAAGTGTTTTAAATTCAAGATTTTAGCATCACATGGGAAAAGGCAAGAAAACAAATAGGATAAGACGACAGTAGTGATCGTTCGAGATCCTACGATTATGTCTTTTTTTGAGCTCTGGAGATGCTGTGAGTTGCCAACCTAAACTGATTTGGATAATGGATTGTTATGTTATAATGACAGTTAATATTATCGAACCATTTTATAGATTCAGTTCCAATAGATCTTATTTATTGATATGTATACAATATGCTGTTACCAATACAAATACGCAACATGCAGTCCATTTCTTCTCTGATTATCTTCAAGAACATTGACCGTGAAGTACACAAGACGATCACGTGTAGAAGACATACAAAGCGTTGGAGAGATATATTTGAATTAGGTAACGACACCTAAGTTAAACTCAATTTTGTTGTACTTTTGTTTTTTTGTTTTTTGTTTGGTAAAGTCACTCTAGTTTATGTAAATGCTCACTTGCAATACCTTAACATTTCATTATCAAATGATATTTACAGTTTAGCAAATAGAAAAATATTTATTTTCTTTTCTTCTGCATTTTAAAACGAGCATCTATATCTAACCAAACACTGGTCCTAACGAGCATTATAATTTAACACCAAAAATTAATAAATTACGATTGATAAATCATAGAATTGCGATGAAAAGAACAAACAAAATGTATAATAGTGAAATTATTAATCAACAAAAATTCAATTCCAAAATAACAGTTTTATATCCCTTATATATTATATGGAAATTGATTTGTGAAAGTTTGCTTATTTGTTATCTTCACAATCACTATTTTCAAAAAGAAATATTACATGGCTTGAAAAATTGTGATATGGTTTAAAAAAATGACATAACTAATTTGAATCATAACAAAATATTTTAAAGCTAATTTTGATAATTCTTTCCATAAATAAAACAAAACTAATTTTAACTAATATTTTTTTTTCCGTTTGAAAATTGTTTAAAAATTAAATTTTGTCACATTCAAGTTTTGAACACTTTTTTATATCAAATATGTTTTTACTGAAAATTATAATGAAGACATACCAAATTTTAAAAAGAAAATATTTCCCAAATTTATAAAGGAGAAATTGCAAAAATGCAACTTTTTATGTGCACATTTGCAAAAATGCCATTTAGAGGTGTTCATTTGCAAAAATATTACTAATTATAGATTTTTAAACCCAATATCTTAAAATTCTAAACACTAAAAAATATTTTGACCTCTAAACCCCCCTAAACCCTCATAACTAAACNATAATAGAACATAATTAACCTAAACATAAGTAATATAAAGAAAAAATAATTTTGAAAAAGTGGCATTTTTGTAAAGATTTCAAAAGTGTGGCATTTTTGTAGAGTGGCACTTAAAAAGTGGTATTTTTTGAAATTTCTCATTTATTTTATAAAACAATATATTTATCATTTTGATTTTTCTTAACACAAGATAAGTAGTTTACATGTTAAAACATTAAAAAAAAACGTTTTGTGTCAACATACTTTGACTTAAAAAAAATGTGACATGACTTCAAAACAAATGATTTAACTTAAAAAATAACATGGAAAATTTGAATCATACAAAAATCTTCTATTAGCTAAATTTATATTCTTTTCATAGGTAAAGCAAA